GTCTGCCAGAAGCTACTTGCGTAGCGCGCAGAGCGGTGCGCTTCAGGCGCCCAATTTAATGATGAATGTCGTTTGCCGGAACTTGACGGGAAAAGGCGGGGAGCAAGCTGAAATGGGTTTTTGCTTGAGTACTTCTTGTTCTGTCGATTGCGACTTCTCCGCAAAATGCTCGTGTTATTACGGGGAAAAAAAAAAAAAAACGTTTAGCGAAGTAATGCTTCTACGGTGTATAAGGAACTCGAGCCGCGAAGCCCCATTTTTAATTGAGGTTATATATCGTAATCATATCCATGCACATCGTGTCTTAAAGGGGCCGTGCAACGATATTAGGATAGGAATGGTTTTAACTTTACACAAGGTTACTAGCACTAGTAGCACCGAAGGATACTCGAACGCAATGCTACTGACTAAGAAGCTTCTTTGTCAGCGCGGAATTTCAAGGATAAAAACTGACGTTTTCTTTCAGTTTCCCCTTCGCAAATTGTCAGCAGACTTTGCGATCCCTGCGGTGAGGATACTTAAATGCGGCTCATACAGTCGACACGAACACTGCGTGAGCGTTCGATTCGGGCTCGTGACAGTTAATGCCTCGACATGCATTCGGCTAGTGGCTCGTGTCCAATAGCTCTGATGTTGGGAGAGAGATAAGTGTTTAAAAGAAAGGAAGCCTGGATCTCAGATGTTGGGAATAGCAAAACCTTGACAATGTGTGAAACTCAGCGCGTTCCCTGTGATTTGCCAACCCCAGCGCGTTGCTATGATAAGCATGCATGTGCAACGTGCGCGTAAACGTAGCTTAAAAAAAACAAAACAAAAAAAAAACAAAACAGCAAGCTTGCATTTGCACATATTTGCCCGCACAAACAGAGACAAGGCGGCGGCCAGATGCCGTGCTTGCAATCGTCTATAATCGACTCCAAATCACGTGAACTCTTCTTCTGGCTGCGAGTTAAGGAAATAAACGCTACTCGTATTTTTTAGATTTTTTTTTGTGATCGTTATTGCGCGGAGAAAAAAACTAACGCGTGTTTCACAAATTACGAATGTCAAGGAATCATTCTAAGCGGTACTTACCGGTGATCTCATACAGCTATAGTGACTGTGAGGGTAAAGCCGAGTTCACACATCTGTTTAGGTTGCGTCCACAGCGAGCGAAACGCCAGAAACAACGGGGACACTGGGACAACTCTGACTCGTGCTTGCTCCCAGGCACTACTTCTTGCGGTTGCCACGTTCTGTACGGAGAACAGTTGTCCCGGGTCGTTGCTGTCGTGTCGTTTCGGTCGCTTAGAACGCAACCAACGCAAATGTGTGAACCGGTCTTAGAAGCAGAAAGCGCTTTTATTGAAACGAATTTGTAGTACATTAAAATGTACTGTACATAGAAGCTCAAAGTCTATATAACTTTAAAATATTTTGTAAAAAAAAATAAAAATCATAATAAATAAATAATCACGCTACAGTGTTGGGCAGAACATGTAAAACTAATTTTTCGAGCGTTCATGGGTATCGAGGTGTGTTCGACAAAGATATCTCGAATAAAATATGCGCACAAGCCATCAATATACAATACTTATTTTGGCTACACAAAATCCACTGACGCATATATTGAACACCTCCCTGCTAAATATTGTGTTTCTGAAGCAGGAACTACGACTCGCAAAGATGTTCGTCTTAAAAAAGAAATGTAATAAAAATGTGTTTGGTAATTCAGACCTCTTCCAACCTTGCCAATGTTTTTCTTTTTTTTTTTTTTTTTCTAAGGGCTTCGATTCATCTGTAATTCATCCCTAATAAAACAAAACAAAAATAAAGAAATAGATTGGCATTCTTTAAGAAATATTTTATGTCTTTTTTTATCAATCTGTATGTAAACGATATTGTAAACATAAACCCAGCAATAAAATTAATTATTCATGCCAAATATATTTTGTTCGTTTGGACTTTGGACTGCTGATACCGTCATTCCTCTGCGTAATAATAAAAGAAAGAGAGAGAGAGAGAGAATACAATTCTATATAGCTCCCCCCCCCCCCCCCCCCCCCCACACACACACAACCAAACCAAGAAAAAAAAAAACGTTAGTATAAGCATGGATATATTTTCCAGTTCTTTTCAAATATAACTTGACACGGCGCTTGAAACCTTGGGCGTTTGTGTCTCAAATTGCATATGACGTTGGACTATCACACTAAGAACATCATATCCGCATTGTCCCGTATAGTCGTCCTCACCTATCGCCACAGGCATATTCTACAACGCAAATATAAAGATGAAAAGAAAAAAGAGAAAGTGGTTTATTTTGTTTACGCTTCTTGCTTTACGATTGGTGCTTCGGCACCCGAGGCTACACTCTCATTGGCTGATGAACGATAAAAAAATGCTCGGGATTCGACACGCCGTGCGTTTCTTAAACTGCCGGCAACTTTAATAGATAAATAATTTGTCATTTTCATATAAATTAGAGTCACATAGTTTGGGGCATAACTTCACTCCAAGAAACGCCTGCCCGTGTACGTAGTCGCAAAACACTCAAGGAGCCAACCTCTGCTATCTAGGAAATCAGTTCAGCGAATGATGAGGCAGAACATCCGTTTGGACCTAAAAATGAAGTCTACGCTGTGGCATTACGCAATGCAAAGCGTCACGCTTGTATTGCGTAATGTTTCAGCGCAGACTTCATTTTCATGTCTAAACGGATGTTCCGCCTCATCATTCGCTGAGCTGATTTCGTAGATCACAGGGATTGGCTCTTCGAGTGTTTCGCGAGTAAGTGGACGCGCAGGCATTTCTAATACCCTTGTCAGACGGGAAAGTAAATGTCAATTTGATTAAATGTCATTCACCGTTCGGCGGTTCGGCGAATCAGCTCGTGAGCCTGGTTCTGCACGTGGCGCGTACACGCGCAGCGGGGCGTATTAAACACGCCGATTGGCCGAGCTGTAATCTCATTTTACTTAAATGGCATTTAACGTGCCCGTCTGACAGGGGTATTACAGGGGTATTAGAGCGTAGACTCACGCGAACGTTCGAAAAACGTTCGCATTACTGAAAAAAAAAAAAATAAATATGGTAAGCAGCATTTGCTATGATGCAGATCGATATATCCGCGGCAGCGGTTCTTTTTAGCCGACTTCGTGCGATGAAAATTCACACTTCGTATAGCTACCGCCTATATGGGCTATACATAGACCAAAACAATCAAACAAATTCAGGAAGCGTCATATTAAAGAAATAGTTAATTCAACAGCAACAACAACAGAAAATGTGTTTGTATTCAACACGAATTAAAAAAAACTTGGGAAGTGCTTTTTTTTTTTTTTTTAGAAGAAAGTATGGAGAACATACGATAACACACACTTTTTCTCGACCATGCTCAATCGGTTTAGTGCGCAAAATACTGAAACTGACTGTAAAATGATAAGTATCTTTCGGGATATGATAACTGTTTAACCGAATCGTCTAAATTTGAATGAAAACTGTTTGCCCTGTTTATGCTCATGCTTTTTGTTCCTTTGTTTCTGTGTGCGTACTGTATATATTTATTAAGTTCCCCCCTATTTGTTATTTATATATTTATAAAACTATATTTTGGTACTTGTGTTGTATTTAGGGCTTCGAGCCAGCGACGCTGTTTTCAACATATTTCCGTTTCAGCGCAGTCCTAAAAATGAGCTCTGCGCTGTTGCATTACGCAATGCAAGCATGACACTTTGCAATGAGTAATGCCACAGCGCAGACTTAATTTTTAGGTCTAAACGGATGTTCCGCCTCATCATTCGCTCAGTTGATTTGTTAGATCGCTAAGATTGGCTCTTTGAGTGTTTTGCGGGTAAGTAGTCGCGCAGGAACTTTTTAGAGTGCAGCAAAGTTATAATTTACAAAAAAAGAAAAACTTTTTTTTTTTAACTCTGATCTCAAATGTCGATCAAATTTGCTTGTTAGAACAACTGTATAAATAAGAGCGCAACGAGAGGGCATAAATAATAAGAATTACTTGAAGCGCAACGGTTTAAAAAAATTATGACTTACTCTAAATTATGCAAGTACAAACTATAACAAAACGGCGTTTTTTTTTGTTGTTTGTTTGTTTTAAAAGTGACATACACTTAGATATATCCACCAACAATATTAAAAAAAAAAAAAAGAAAACCAAAGGCATAAAGATTTTCTGAAATGAAATATTTCTTCGTTAGCAAAAAAAGAAAACGAAATAAAAAAAAATAAAAAAGAATCTGGAGTGTCATTACAGCGATGATCCTCATGACCGTGCTTTATACATTTCGTAAGCTTTTTAAGTCCGGCCACTTGTAGAAAACAGGGAGCTCGCCAATTTCGTGTGTCATTGCAGCTTGCCTTTAGGGTAAGGTCACCAAACTATCCTGCAAGAAGCGCAGTTCACACCTTAAATATATCGACACTTTCTCTTTCTTTTTTTTTTTTTGCGTTTAATTAGTTTGACATTTTGTCTCTGCGGAGATTGAAACCTTGTGTCACGTGACCTGCTGAAAATTTGAACGAAAGCAGTTTAGTGATTACAAATATAAAAGAAAATACACAAAAAGATTAACTTTATTTGTTTATAAAAGAGAAACAGTTAATGCTCTTTGGTTCGGTACTCATGTTCATGGTGGGACGCTTTGAAAGCTGAAGTTTCCGGCGAGCGTGGCTCGAAACATCGTGTACGTTCCGCTAAAACACCGAGTGTTAAATAGCTGCGGTGCTATCGCTTCCAACCAGCAAAACATAGAAGTCTTTTTCCACTGTATTAATATTGGCATCTTTTTATCATTCACTCTTGGAAGCGCCTTTCGTAATGGTGTCTGGTCTTCGAATTGTTCTTGATCGTTTCACCATTAAAGCGAAGAACACGTTGAGCCGACGACGACCTAGTCAGCAGACACTGTAGGCATCAGCGATGTGAAATTCGCATGAGTCTCCGATGATTTACTCGACACTCTAGCGAGTGCCAAAGCGTGACGCATCCGGCGAGGGAAGGAGTCTTTCGACGCTGTCGATGCAGATAACGTTACAGGTATTCCATCAACATCCGCGCGCGATCCTCAGCCGCGTCGTGAGGAGGCTGTTTGACATTGAGCCTCGCGCAACCGCGGGCCTCTGAAAATTTATTGTTTCTTCTTCCTCGCCGCTGGAGTCTGTGGGGGTCCCGCGATGGCGAGACGCTGAAGCGACTGAAGCCCCGAAGCCGCTGAAGTGCAGTCGCGGGAGCGAGCGCCGTTCATCCCGCGGCGGCTGCAATGCCAAGCTCGGAGCGAGAAGGAAAGCGGCACTCTCGAACCGCAGCGCCGACTGCTCCTGACGCCGGGGACGAGGCTAAGCGCGCCTGCGAGAGTGAGCGTCTGCTCGCAAATGGCAAGATCGGCCGCGACGCTCGACCCCGTCGGATCCCGCACGCGGTGCGCATGGTTTGGCTAACCGGTGTCGCTCGCTCTGGGACGTCTGAACTCCCCCCTCGCATGTGTTCCGCGTGAAACATTGTGGACCAGCGCCAGTGCACACGACCAGCCAGTGAACATGGCGTTATAGCGCCGGCTTCGACTTGGCCACTGGCAAACATGCCCGGGTTTGCGCTCATGCTAGCGCCGCAGCCGCCGAAAGTTATGCCATCCCAAAGTGTGCTCCGCCGCTGCTCGTGTTAACTGACGGTCTCTCCGCCGTTTCTGTGCGTGTCCAAGTTCGGCTTTGGACGTCGCCGACACCTGCATCCACCATGGACATCTTGCCGAGTGGAAATATTTTTCACGAGCTGCAAGCAATCCACGACACTGGTTTTTTCCCGGCTCAGCCGTCGTTGGAGGACTTCTGGCAACAGGTCCGTCCGCTCTTTTACTCACTTGCCTCCGATGTGGGCGATGCCAGAGGTACGAGCAACTGCCCAAACACAGCCCCAAAGCGCTGACCGATCACTCTTGCCGCTGCTGGTTGCGCGGGTTGCTGGTACCTGTCGCAGCCGTCCTGACTCACGTGCGATCGTCGCCGGGGTCTCGCCCTGCCACGAGGTTGGAACCCGGAAACCGAGGGGGCGGCTTTCCCCGAGTTGGCGGCACTGCTTGTGGATGGCGCCAGGGTGGTGCTGCGTGTGTTTGTGTATGCCGAGCCAAGGTTTCCGCCTTTCACCTGCGGCTCGCGATTTGAGGCCCACCGCAGCGAGTTGAGCGGCAGCTGTCCCCCACCTGCCTCTCGCTGCAGTGCCGCTGATGCTTTGCGCGCTTGGCGGTTGGTCGTTGCTCGGCGCGCCGCTCGCTCGATTTTCAAACGGGCCGCCCTCGACTTGGCGCTATTTTTGAGTTCTCCCGCTCCGAATCACGAGACGTTCGCGTATCTTGAACGAATCGCGCGCCGTCGCGTAACCCCCTCTTCCCCCGTGGTGCCCTCGACACTTGTTTTGCTCCCTGGTGGTGGAGGTGCTCGCGAGAGAGGAGACGGACAGCGACGAGCAAAGCTCGGATGAAAACATCTCTTCCGATTAGGGTCAGCGCAACGACGGCGGCGAGGAATGCCTCTTTCCCCCTTTCTATTTTCGCCCTCTCTCCCTCTCTATCTCTCCCAGCTGCTGGACGGAGGATGTGTGGCTCCCGCCACCAACTTTCCAACGAGCCATTTCGGCTCTTTGGAGCCTTCGTCGAAGCCGAGCTTCGCTTATCACATAGACGGAGTGCCCAAAACGACGCTCAAATCTGTCGTGGGGTTCTCGCGGTTATCCGTCAGTCTGCTTGAAATCTCGAGTTGTATTCGTAGCGACAAGGAGCGGGTCCCCATGTCCGCTGCCGTCGGATTATCCTTCTCGCGCTGGAACATGTTCTCCGAATGTGCGAGGAGATACGGGCCGTGCGACGCCTCGTCTAGTTTGTTGTTGGCTGCCAGTGTGATGCTTGGAAGTGCGTTTCTGTTAGCAGCCGGTTGCGACCAGATGTAGTTGTGCCGGCAGAGCTGATTGCGCCTCTGCATGCGTCTCTTTCTTTCTCTCCATCTAATGCCTGTCTCACCAGACATCGACCGCAAATGTTGATGCATGGGTTGGGAAATCATGTTTAAACTTTGGCACCGTAAACGAAACATAGTACTTTATGAAATCGATAGTGGTCGTCGCTGTTTTCCTGCTACGGCTATGTGTGTTTTCGCTTTGTCCAACTTTTATTATGCAGTTATATGGTAGTTCTTATTCTGTGTATGAGAAATATGGGCGTTTTTTTGTTTTTTTTAATATATATAGTTCCTTTCATTTGATCAGTGGAAAGGTGTGTGCAACGTTTCTACCGCGGAAACAACCGGCGATTTCAATCCAAGTGAGGTGAAGAATACGTTTTATTGAGACAGAGAAGAGTGGGAAAGAAACCAAGATGGACACACGTAAGCGCTGTAAATAAACAATGGGCCATATGCGATGTCGAGACGATTAGGGGAATTCCTATCCGAGCTTGTCATTGTATAAGCTCGCTCTGTCGCTGGAAGCAGATGGGCACTCCCTCAATGTAGGTCTTAGTCGTAAGCTGCTCTGAATTATATGCGGGCGTCATATAAACATGTGCAGCTAGATTGACAATAAAATTCAAATGACGCCAGTAACCTACCGTTTTTTCGATACACAAGAAGACTTCGCTGCCTCAAAAACGACCTTGGGCTCGACAATGAACTTGAAGCAAATTCATGCGAGGACTTATCCAGTTGAGTCGAAGACGAACATTAGGTGGCAAAATCGGCACAGCGACGGACTTAATCTGAAAGGCTTACCATATACTAACGTGTCCCGAACTGTCAGGTACGCCAGCGCCTTCTGCAATCTGTCTTCATCAAAGCTCCAGCCGTGTGGGTTGAATCCTAACTGCTTACTGAGGATCCCGTAGGCAGCGCGTTATTTCGAAGCCATTGAGGCAGTGTGCAAAAAGGGACGGGCCGTCATGGAGGTTACTCACTTTGGCGGAGTGAATTTTTGACGGCTCTTTGGAAAGCACGCCTCCCTTCGCCCCCATCGCCGCATCCGTTCAACGAACAAAGCCTACGACACGACGCGTTGCCCGCCGAGTTTCGCTCGCATCTACCTGTATTTCACCGGGATTTGTGTTTGGAGCTTACGAAGCTTCAGGCTGTGTATTCGTAGTTATTATACGACGCTTGAGGCGTCCACCGTAGCGTGAAGTAAACATATGCATAACTCTTTCGTGGCGTGTATTTTATAGTTGTGTGTATGTGCTTCCTACGAAACGTGTTCGTCCGTTCAGGAGCGTGTTCTTTTCTCGTTTTGTGTTTGCTTCGGCTCCGTCCTTTTGTTCTCTTCTGGGGAATTCATAATCTATGCGGCAATCTGCCTCGAGGTGCGAAGCATGCTGGAGAAACCTTGGCCCACGTTTTGACCCGTTTCTTCTTTTTTTTTTTTTTTTTCTTTTTTTCGTTGTTGTTGCTTTTTCGCTTTCTAGCTTGCAGTGTCGGTTATACGCGGTGTGTCGAACGAAGGGATTTGTGTTTAGCACGCATAGCCCAGCGCGCATTGTGACACCTGTGGTGTAATTACACACGCCGAGAATTATTAACGGCCCTCGCTGTAATGAGAATGACAGGAAGGGCTGCAGCCGCGACAGATCCCTTGGGAGGCGTGTACAGTGAAGCCACGGTTCGCCTAAATCTGTGCGGGGACGCCGAGCGGCAGGTCTTGTTTTATCTTCAACAGTGTAGCCTCGCTACAGTGCCTCACTGCTACTTTTTTTTTTCTCTCTCTCTCTATCTTTCCTCCATGCACCGCGTACTGATAACGCCGATGGATGGCAGGATGCGATTAGGAAGAGAGTGTCGTAAGCACGTCGGTGTATTTCAGGGGGTCCATTATCCCTCTGGCGTTTTCTTGTAATCTCTCGGTATGAATTCAACGTGCATCTCCCCGGTGATCCATATTCTCCCACATATCCTTCGCGTACATTGCGGTGAAATATCTGCTCACTTCTCGGTGCAGTAGACTCTCTGGCATTTAATTCGAGTGAAATGTGGAATCGATTTGGACCCCGTTGCTTGCTCCGGAATCGGCTTCTTTCTGCTTCCTTCACGCGGTTGTACAGTTAAGGCGTGAGTACTCGCCGCTGACAGTGCTTGGCTCTGCTTGCCTCGTCCTTGGCTATAAAACAGCGCGTTTCCCGGCGCTGAAGTCAAACAAACAACGTACACGAAAAAAAGAAGAATCGAAGTATAATTGCCGTATTTGTCGAGAGTTGCCAACACTTACATATGTGTGCGTACCAGTTCACGGGGGAACTCAAGGATACATGACCTCGAATGGACCTCACCTCAGTGCGCAGTGGTTATCCGCTCGAGCTGATTCAATCGGGGGTGATGTCATCTATATGTGCCGCGTTACTCGAGTCTGAACGCGCAATTTCATTTGAGCATAGCGTTATGTCTTGGAGCGCGGGGCGAATAAGTATCGCTTGCGTTTTATTCAACTCTTCGTGATAATCGGGATGGCGTCATTCGAGCGAGTAATTTCCATCCGCAAATTGGGCCCACCTCTCTCTCTCTCTGTCTGATACCGCCCAATCGCATTATCGCTCGTCATGAAACGTGCAGTGAGACTTGAGCACACGAAGGCCATCTGTCGAGATGACAAAGGCATGAGTTTCTGTATTACCTCGCGTTGAATTTGGATGGCGTGGGAGAACGATGAGCACAGAGCTCTAGAAGTCATATACCCCAAATTACCCAAGCACCAAAGAGCATGCGGCGAGCGTGCGGACGCGCGCTTCGCATGTTCGTTAACGCCTTATTTGGGGTATATTAGTTACTTCGAATCTTTTATACAGATAAGGGGAGCGCGTGCAGCGTGTGTACCAACGTTCCCAGCATCCTCCTTGGTGCTTGGGTTATATGGCATTCTCCACTATAGGCGTTCGGACGAGCGACGCGTAATTGTTGTTTGTTTCGCGACTTTCCGCAAAAAGTAAAGAAGCTTATACAGACGGGTATTTTCTCTGTACCCGTTTTCACCTCAAGAGAAAAGGAAGTCTTGCTCATTGTTCGTTCGCCACGCGAAGTAGTTCTTACAAAATTTGGTTGTCGGAGGAAGGAGCGATGCTTTTTTTGGCGTTTGAAAATTGCACATATTGGTAAGATAACACATATCTAATCTACAATTCACCTACATATATCTTCACTCTCTACGTAAGGGTGGAAATTAGTAATGATCCCTGAGAAGCCGGATTTTTTTTTTTTTTTTACTATGGTTCTTGAGGTGAAAACGAGTATAATAGCTTCTCGTATGCTTATAATGCCTGCCCAATCACCGGTTCACGGTGAGACAAATCCTGTCAATCGCAACGAGGCAAATCCTGCTTGTGACGGGACGAACGGAAACCATAAGCGGGCTCCACCGACATCTCGGCGCTATAATTGTAGACAAATGCACATGGCGTATACTAGTACATTTTCCGGGAGTCACTCAACGTAACTCTGAAGTTCTGCGTTATTGAGTCGATCTAGAGGTGCTGGACTTCCCTCACTAACGGTTAATGCTTGTCAAGCTGAATGCTGCAGAATCCACGAAAAAAAAAAAAAAACTCGAATCGTTTTTTTTTTTTTTTTTTTTTTTTTTTTTTTTTTACGTAATATATTCTTTTCCTTCCGTTCTTTTGCTCGACAGACATATATATTGCTCAATGGCAGGTCGATTCCAATTGACTGCAGCCAGGAAAGGGAATTTGCTTTCCTTTTTTTATTTTGTTTTGCACGCCCGCTTGGTGTGTGTGTGTGTGTGTGTGCCGACAGCTCTTTGTTCGTGGTATTGCTGTCCACTGTGCATCCCTTTCGCTGTCGAAACTCCGACGTCAACCG